AAAAAAAAAGTTGTCAGAGTGACATCACTGCATTGATTGAACATTTTCCATACATAATAAAAGTGACCTTGATCTTTAAAACATTAAACACAAATTCATTTGTTGTATTCTCACACTCATTGATGTTTGCATCAATTTTGATCAAACCCATGAAGAAATTAAGTTGTTACAGGGATGATGGTGTGTTGCGATTGGATTCAGTGTAATGGAACGGACATAAATAGGTTCTGTAACACTTCATGCCACCCATAGAAAAGGCAAGGGCATGAAATATGACTTGGAGCTGGAGGGATAAATAAACAAGGAACACTTCACCATGGTATAAGCTTTCTTGCCCTTCAGAAAATGCAAATAAAATCATAATATTGCTGTCAATATTTGACACCATGTATGACCCACTTTTTCTCAGTAACTGATCCGAATAGCCTCCTGCTGCCACAGGCTAGCCAGTTGATGCGGCGTTCGTACAGACTGACTACCTCATTGAGTTGTTTCTGGTACTCAAACAGGTGGGTCATGTCCACATGGATGTTCTTCATGGACCCATCGTGCCACTGGAACTGTACCATGGCTTTCTGTAACATAAACACAGACATCAGAAGTTGTATTGTAGACAGTGTAATTTTATAATTTTATCAAGTGAATTATGGTTGTGTTATAGTTTCTTGAGATTGCATTGCTCCTCAACACAGTTATACCCACGAGTACCTACCTCATGGACCTGGGACTGGACAGCCTTTTTGATGACAGGGATGAACTCCTCTTTGTAGGAGTATGCATTAGGAGCCAGTACCTGGTACAAGTCTAGACGTTTGGCTGCAATGTAATAGTTCAAGATCTTCATATTCAGTTATAAAACATATATCTTAAACAAATTTGGAAGAATATATCTGGTGTTGTACATAATATGTACATCTAGAGACATCATTAATTATATTGTTACCTTTAAGACCATGCTGCTGGATCCAATTTATAGAAGTCCTGGGCTGGAATTTTGGCATTTCTATGCGTAGTGGAAGGTCATGACCTGGTGGACGGGGTAGGAAACGGGACTGGGGCAGCTTGGCTACCTCCGTGGTGATCTAGTCACAGAAATATAACATTGATTGACCTTTTATCACGATTTTAATGAATCTTAATCTCATTCCTATTTATTAGAAGTTAATCAACACACTTACAATCATCAGCATGATCACTCAATGTACAATTAATCTTAATCAATGTATTGATCATATTACATAAAATAAATCTATATATTTAGTTATCATATCACATATATTAACAAGTACCTACATGTATATATGCTTAGTGGTTTTTTTTTAAATCCTGTAGAGAACATTGCAACCCACTGGCCCTCATCATGGCATCATCTTGTACACTTCAGCTAGGAAATACTGGTACATGTCAAATGTGATGTAGAATATTGGAAAAGAAGAAATAGTCCCATGTAGTACATCATTTATTATTGAAAGAAGATCTATCGATTCTTGTGTCTAACCTCATTCATGATGCTGATGAGTGCACTGCCCATCATTCCATTGCGCATCTCTTTGATCTTGTTAATAACGTCCTGGCACTTCTGAATCTCTTTCAGTATGACACTGATTTCTGTACCTGTGTATATCTGCTCCTGTTGTAACAAAGAAACAGTAAGTATTAATGATTCAGCCTTCAGTATTGACACTGATTTCTATATATATATATGTTAGAAGTGGTAGATCTCGTGGGGTTTTCTGGGTTTCAAAAACTACCCAGTCTGGGGATTAATACGCTCTTTAAAAACCCACGGGAGTATAATTCCACTAGTCCAACCTCTGAAACTAGTAGATTTCATATCAGCTACTGAAAATATTTATAAATAAACAGCAGAATCTGTATTTGTATTATCTAACTTATCGATAAATTTTCATAAACTGGTTGAATTTCCCTTGATGTCATGTTAACCTACCTCACAGGTGGCGGTGTAGCAATGGTAACTCCCTCCTGATGCATCCGACAAGTGCCTCAGGGTAATCTGTCATACAAAAAAAACACATGAATATTTCATATAGTGTTCTTGAGTCTGTTTCATTATCAATCGTTGTACGGCACTATTTTCACTACTTTTGGAAAGGAGCCCCTGGCTCTAGTACTGGAAATATTGTGTCACAATAATTGATATATATATTAGAAATTTTCAGAATTATACCAAAACTTTGTACAGAATTAATGGCTTTAAACTTTGAGTACTCAATTTAACCCATTAAAATAGCATACTTAAACATTTAACTACATATTAGATGAGTATCTAGTATAGACAAGGATAATCGAGGAGGGGGCTCTGGGGCCTTTGACACTCTACAACTGAAGTTTTTTCCCTCATACATATTTCCCATTTTATTTTAGTTTTATATATAATGACCCCTCTAATCTTTTTATATTGACTAAAATTGCTGAAAATGTCCCATAGCCTTCAGCTCCCAGGACTTTCTTGATATGGTAACATTAGTGTGTCCTTACATTGGTGAGGTGGTTACTGCAGTCATATGCCACAGTTTGAAGTGGCCTCTCCTCTCCAACACCCATCTGGTGAATGTAGTCACAGAGTATCTCCGAGGTCTGGTCAGGCCTGCAGGATAAACACCAAGAATTTATCATAACAGTTGTTATGTTGTTAAGAGTACTTATCCT